ATGCAAGTAATCTTTAGGACTCCCTTGTGCTCTGGCCTCTGCATCACGATGCCCTGAACCTCATTCCTGCCTTGCTCCAGTTGTTACTGCCATATTCCAGCCTAATCCTCCTTGCTCCAGTTGTTTCTGCCTTGCTCTGGTTAGTCCCTGCCTTGTACCAGTCTGCTCCTGCCTTGCTCCTGTTTGATCCCACATATCCTAGTCTGCCTTTGCCCTGCCCCTGGGTGTTCCTGCTTGCTCCAAGTTGTTCCTACCGTGCTCCAGGCCACTCTTGTCTGGACCACCCTTACCTGACTGTTTCCCTGGCATCAGACTTCTGGACTGTTTCAGGACCCGTGCTCCCTATCTTGCCTATATAATATTGGACTGCCTGCTGCCTTGGCCTTTATCTTGGACTGCTGACCATGCCACCAGCCTCTAGTCCTTCTAAGCTGTAGGACCTGGTCTCACACCAGCACCCTGGTCCCAGCCACTGTCCTGGACCTTACATATCCACAGATGCAACAGAGCATTAAAATGGTCAAGTTGACCTTGAAAGGAAGCTAAATTTGAGCCTTTCAGAAGTCAATAGTAGAGGTAGATGCTGTCCTTTTCTTCCCTTAAAAAAACCCAACACTTTCAGGTTGTTTCACAGACTGCAGCCCACAGAAGAATGAATGAAAATGATCCTCAGACCTCTTGAAATTGCCTACTCATAGAAATAGTCTCCTCTGCTAGCTAACAGAGAATAATGGAACAACAGCTTCCTCCTTCCAGTGAGTTTCTTCTGCAACTACTTATATTTTCACTGGCCTTCAGTTTCACTCATTTCCTCCAAGTTCAGACTTTTTTCTTCTCAATTCCTGCTATCCAAAAACTAGCAAATGAGTGAACTGGAAAACTGGTAACTAACTATACACTGGAAAACATGAGCAGCCACAGGTTACTCTAAGAATTAACGAAGCCTATTTTATAGGAACTTGCATTTTCTACAAGTTCAAAAGGCCACACAGAAGACCAAGATTTGTCAACCAGTACTTTCAAGGAAGGTCTTTCGCTACCCAACTCCAGAAAAGAAACAAAGGCAAAATCATGAAGAGCAGTCATGTTTAGTTCACATATTTCCATGCTAAGGCCTTTCTTCCAAAAGGATACAGGAGGTTACTTCGGGCCAACAGCTTCCCTACTTTATTCTCAGTGAGAAAGCAATTAGAAGTTTAAATCTGAATCTAGTATTTGCATCTTTCTTTCACTTCTCTTCTGGAATAAAATATTCTCCACCTTCCACACTAGGGTCTAAAAATCTGTACTGCACCCCACCCATTTGTACACTAGAACAGAATAGAAAAGACCAGACAGATAGATACAAGTATGCCAATAAACTCACATCTGTTTTGGCCTTCATTCAAAGCTGTAGCAAAAATGCAGTCCCATGTCTGAATAGCCTTTGGTTCTTTGTTCTTCCAACACCAGATTCTGTTTGTAAAAAGAAAAATCTCTCTACCTGAAAGTATTCCTGCGTTGTCTGCAAGATAAAACAGACTGGCATTTGTTAATCTTTTTGTGTTGCATCAATAAATGATCACAACTTGAACATATGCCCAGTCACTGAGAGCCCTTCAGCCTAACACTACAGTTCTGAAAACCACAGGCACCCTTCCCTCCAGTTATATAAGCTTCTTTGAGAACCAACGCAGACATTACTTTAAATTTGTGTCCAGCAGCTATCCTCCTGACATTCCTTTTTACTTTATACACAAGTATAGAGCTCAATCCAGATTAGGACTCTAGTAGTGTGGGGGTAATGGGGGCTTTCAAGATCTGGACTGAGCCCTCAACTCAAGAATAAAAATGAAAAGAAAGCTTAGCTGCTAAACACTCCTTCCTATTAGTAGGGCCAGGTTTAGAAGACTTAGGAAGCAGCTTTATTCTGCATCAAATGTCCCTTTGTCTCACAGATAACCTGCAAAATATTATAGACAAAGATTCTCTGGTCAATCTTCACTGGCAATTATGTTCTCACCGAAGGCAGACACCAAGTCCTTCCCCTAATGATTAATTAATACTGCCAAAACAGAAGAAATAGACTCCAGGGAAGAGGAAATTGGCAGAGGTCCATGAATTGATTGTTTATGCTTTTTAAAAAAAATTGTACTGGAACAGAGAGAACAGGAGAAGGTGTGTTCTTCTAAAGCTACTCATATAGAAGGGGGACCAGGGAACCACCCACGCAAACAGACCCTGTAGGGATTCAATCACAAAAATGAACCAGGCAGCTGCTTATTGACCCCCTAAGTAAGAACAACAGAATTTTACAATAATAATCTAAAACAAATTTTCAGCAGAGAAATTGTAACCCAGCTTTCTTGGAGTATGCCTGACTGTGGAGAGCTACACAGCCTACTGCTTCTGGCCAAACGCTTTTGTCACCTGGCCCACTGTAAGCAGCAAGGTCATGACAAGAAGAAGAGCAGGTGCCCTGGTCATTCACATATCAAATGGAGTCCCAGAGGCCTTCCTCACCTGTTGCTTCCTCCAAGCTAGCCCAGGCCCCTTCCTTGAGCGAAAAACACAAGAGTTTGCTTGCAAAAAGTGTTTGAATGAGCTGCATTGTCTGATTTTGGGGTAGGGTAGTGTATGAGCCCATAGCTTGCCCCGTGTTGCTTGAGTGTGTCTGAACTGCCTTGGCTCTTAAATGAAGTAGATCTCCTTTTCGCATGATCCATGTGACCAGATTAGGGTAGGGGCATGGTCCTCCCTGGCATCTGGGGTTTGCATTTCGGTTAGAGAAAGGTGAGCAGATATGAGAATAGGGGCTTCTGGACATTTTGTATTCAAATGCTACAATGCCTTGGGGCACCTTAAAGGCTCTCAACTTTACTGTAGCTTTCATGGACAGAAGTCTACTGTATAGAAAGTTGTTTTGAAATATGTTGCTTTTTTATGTAATTGGAGAAAAATGGCACATGCTGAAATAAAGGGACAGGCGCCCCAGTGATCTATGTTATGTCTGATCCCCTAGACTAGCTGGTTTTTTGCTCACATTTGCTTCCCCTTTGGTTTTGGTTTTGACCTGAAATCAGATCTCCTCCACTCCTCTGTTTATAAACAGGGCCTTCTAAAAGTACACAGCATGCACACACCTTAACGCCTGAAGCAACTGCTGATTTGGATCATCAGGAAAATGCTGCAAGTTATTAATTATTTAATTTATTAATGATTCCATTTTCACTGCCAGGGCAGAGGAGAAATGCTTGCATGACTTTTGTCTCAGAGACCAAAATAACTTTACTAGCTTTGTTGATCTCCCTCATGTGCCCACATTCAGAACATACAAACTTCCCTTACATGTGAAGGCTGCGTTGAGGCAAAAACAAACATTACTTCAAAGTGTGTTTTGCACCTGTCTCCTATTCACAGTTTTACTTTAGAGTAGGCCTAGCAGCAACTCCTGATCTTAAAAGATCTTCAACCACTATATTAGAGTACCAATCTAAACTGATTGTTCAAGAATACAAATGGATCTGGGCCATTATAACAGACTGCTTGCCAGTCAACACTGATGGTTCCTTAAGCAGACTTGCTCACATCCGAGTAAACATAGCTAGGATTGCACTGTGGAACAAGGATAAGAAGCAGTTTAGAGTTCTTAGTCATTGCGCTCCTTCCTTTTGTTGAGTACTGACAGAAAACATAACAAACTCCACTGTTTGTCTGAACAAAGCCTGGGGCTTATTCCCAGGTAAGTGGGTAAAGGTTTGCAGCCTGAATCTCTCTGCTTTCCTTTCTGAAACCATTTTGCTGATATAGAGGGGAAAAGTACTGTTGGAAAGCTGAGAAAGAAGGAAAGATAATGAGTGAGTTTGGGAACCTGCTGGAAAGAAACCTGCAAATGCCCCTTCCTTCCTGGAACTAAATAGGTTAGGGTTGGACCTATACAGTATATATAGCAGTGATTATAGTACTCTTCCCAGCTTCAACTGTCCAAAAGTACAATTTCTATCCAACAAACTTAGTTTTTTCTTATGCTCTCCCCCTTTCCACACAATTACTCATGAGATAGTTACATGTATAGTTTCTTGGGAGCACATTACATTTATATTTTGTTTCATATTTCAAAGTGAAGCTACCACATTTGAAATCAGCAAAGCTGCCAGTCCTTAAGTATCTAAATATGATCTAATGGACAGTATCCTATGCAGCCCTCATAATTCTGAAATGTGTTGCACTTGCTGTGGGAAATTAGCAGTTCTCAACAGACCAAAATTAGCAGCAACACTTGTTTCCAGAACAAGGCACTTGGCTTACTCTTTTCTGTGTCTATTTTAGGAACAACTTGCCCCTAATTGTACTAGTGCTATATTTATTTATTTTATTTATTTATTAAAACATTTTTATGCCGCCCCATTCGCCGAAGCCTCGGGGCGGCTTACAACATAGATAAAACAAGTTAAAATCCATATAAAATAATCTTAATTAAAACTCACATTATAAAATAAGCCGCCCTGGCCAGATAAAATTCAATTGTATTTAGCATTTAAAATGTTGCTTAAATAAAAAGGTCTTAGCCTGGCGCCGAAAAACAAATAACGACGGCGCCAGGCGGACCTCTCTATGTGCTAAGACATTGTAATACTGCACTATGTCAAAGAACAGAAGATCCACTGATGGCAGAAATGCCATCACAGAATCACACATTTCTTATACTCGCAATGCTGTTTTGGTTTAACATCCCAAAGGACAGAGACCAGTGTTATCCACATGGGTATCTGCAGCACTTGCAAAAATGACAAATTGAAATTTTAAAATATCTGGAATTTCAAATTGGAAAACTCTAATTTCAAAATTTCAAAGACCCCATTCAGCAAGATTTAAGGGAAATCTGTAAATAGGAGAAACACCAGAAGACTCTCATGACACCTTAAAGACTAACAATGCATTATGGCAGGAGCTCTCATGGATTCATCCCATTTTATTGAATGTGCATAGCATGTGATTCCTAGACACCAGTGTAAACTTACCCACACTAGTAGGGAATATGTCCTCATTGTTGATTTGCACCTCAATCCAGTCCATCAAGAGATTCATATACTGGGGTGCTGGCAATGCTGTAGGTTTCTTGTACTTCAGATCATCCTGCCACCGGTATTCATACTTTGGACCACCAGACATCACAGGGCAGGTCCTGTCTGTGCAGAATTCACAGATAGTTCCATAGATCAGGTTAATCCTGTTGAAAAAGTCAACCACGTGCACTGCTACCCAATCATTTAGATCTTCTCCACTGGGCAGCTGCACAGCTCCTTTCAGGTCCACACCAGAGTTCAGTGAGGCCTGTGCTCGTTTGTGGAGCTCAAACCTCTGGGTTCCAGGTTCAAATTTCCGTTTGGGACGGAATGTCTTGTCCTTATTAAAAACTTGCTTGAGTGCAATGGACATATCCTCTAGCTTGCTGGTTTCCAATGATGAACCAAAAGAGGCACTAGAACGGTGATACAGTATATCCAAGAAAAGAAGAGATATTTCTGCAGCAGAAGTCCTTCATCCACTAGCTCTTCTTATGGAAATTTTTCTTAGGTGACTTCATGTTCCTAAAGGTTCAGAGAAAAACAGAACAAAAGTTAGTGCTAAATACAAACACCAAAATTTGCTAGAGTTTCTTTGGCTTTACCTTGAAGTTTGAAAGAAATGAAATTGTCAATATGACATAACGATTAGAGTGTTTGGGAAAGGACTCAGAAGATCTGGGTTCTAGTCCCCACTTAGCAATGGGACTTGCTAGATGACTTTGGGCCAGTCAGTCACTGACTCTCAGCTTAACCTCTCTCTCAGGGTTATTACCAGGTTAAAATGAAGAGCAGAGAAAAAGATTATCTAAGCTGCCTTGGGTCCCTTGCAGGAACATAGGCAGAATGAAGGAATAAAACTTTTCTCCAATTAATTTTTTTCAAATTAAAAATAGATAGTAAATAATTAAAGTTAACCATGTATGAGTTCAATTTTTAACAGTCTTTCTGATTGCTCAAGAAGTCTACTTGGTCCACATGAGATTAATAAATGAAGTTATCACTCATCTTCTTAACAGATCATGCTATAGATTTTTCCGTGTCTCAAGAGTTTGTCATGTATTCTTCTCAACCTTAGTGAATTATATAAAAGTATATTCTGTGAAAAATGCCAATGTTTTTGTGGCTTCTTTGTACCTAAAGGAGTTTCTCCATTAGGTCATGAATTTCTGTGCTTCTTTCCCTCCGATGAATTTTCTTTTCCTGTATGTGACACAGACTTCATGGAGGCCTTAGGACATGGTGCCACCCACAGCTCTGAATTGAGCCATTCAAGACATTTTCAAAATGCTGTCATACTTAATTGGTGGCTATACATCCAGCCCAGTGATCCCCTCCAAAGAGATTTGCAGCCTCTTTCCTCCCTCAGCCCTACTCCAGCCTCCCAAATAAAACTTCTGCTTCACTTAGCTTCATTTAGTGGTTACCCATACACCTCTCCCTCTCCAAACACTCTGAAGGTGGCTCATGAGTGCAACAAAAACAATTCAGGGAACAGCCTGATGAACATTTAAACAGAAATAAGTCTCAGAACTTGTAGTGTTCTCTTACCAGCCTTGCACCACTAGAAACGTCCAACCTGTAATACCTTTAAAAGAATAAAACACTGCAAGAAAGTGAAAGTAACATGTATGTAACAGGTACTGAGACAATGGTCTCAAAGATCCCTATAGAATGAGTCATACTAACTAGAGCTGATGAGAGCTGCATTCTCCCGCATTAGCTGGGTCACATGTTGCCTGATTGGCTGCCTTGGAAACAAGAGTGGAACTATTCCAGAGTTTTCTGTTGATGGGTGGGAGCTTTAGAAGTTTATTTTTGATGGCAGGAATACAGTCTAAATGTATTTGATTTATATCACCCTTTTTTCTCCAATGATCTCAAAGCAGCTTACATAATTCTCCTCTTCCTGTGTTCCCAATCTTATTCCAACAACAACCCTGTGAAGTAGACTGTGACTGGCCCAAAGTCAACTGGTTCGCTCCATGGCTGAGCAGGGACTAGAACTCAAATCAGATTACCTGAGTCTCAGTCCCGCACTCTTAACCACTACGCTACACCTAAGAAAATAGATGAATAGAAAGCTTGAAAAAAAATTAAAAGTCTGAATAAAGAAAGCTTGCTGATTTTGCTTAAGTAAAAATAAGTGTAGGATTGATACGAGAATTCCATTTGTAGTTGAAAGTTATGCTAAATAGAATACAATGTCTTTTCAGAGTTTAAAATAGCAAACAATGTCCCTGGTTAAGAGTTTCCTCCTCAAGTGTTTCCCTTTAAGATATTCAGTCAAATTCCCATAGATCTTTTGATATAGGAACAGGACATAATTCTTTACATTTTCTCAAGTTTCCAAAATCTGTCAAAAAGATAACACTGCAAAAGAAGGTTGAAGAGAAGGGAAGGTGCAGCTGGTTTTCAGGTAAGATTTAAAAAAAAAAAACCCTCTAATATTCAGTCTGAGAAATAAAGAGGCTATTCCTTGCTTCTTTACAAATGGATTACAATTGTAACAATATAGAAAATCAAAATAAGCCAGAAATTACATTATTTTTCTTTACTAGTTCATTCTGAAGCATAGCACTAGCACTCACTATCTCATTTTGGTGGTGCCATATCCCTGTAAGGCCATCTGCTAACCACTGGCATACAGCTAGTTTCTAATGCAAGTATGATTCCCTTAATTACTTCTGTCATGCCAAAGTACAGCCTTCCCCAGCCTGGTCTTTTGGACTACAACTCCCATCAACATAAGACAGCATGGTCAACAGGCAGGAATCCTGGAAAGTGTGTTCTAAGACATCTGCAGGGCACCAGACTGAAGAAGGTTACACCACGGAGGATCCACTAGTCCTACTCAGTACTAGTCCTACTGCACTAATGACTCTTAAGTATGAGGCAAGAACAAGCAGTCACTGGATAAGCTTTTCTTTCCTCTCCTGCCTAGAGCATTAGGGCCAGGACTGAGTTCCAAAATATTCCATGTTCTCTGCTAGATCACTGGGACCTAAAGGGGTCTTAAACAGCTGTATGGACAGAATAGGCAAGACTGAAAAATATCAGTCAAGTTATCTATGAGGGGCTGACTCTGACCCCAAACCAGGTTAACTGAAGAACTGCCTTTTCCAGCAGAAATTATTCAGAAGTTTGAGAGTATTTGTTATCCATGTTCTGCCAACTTCAGGCATGTGTTTGGTAAGAGAGCATCATGACATTTGAGAAGTCCTTCTCAACAGTGGTACCCAAGCTCTGAAACTCTTCTTCCTTTATTTGTATTTGAGCAAGCTTAAATATAGTCATTTTCCCCCTTGACATAGAAAGACAACCTACAATAAAGTTCAGCAACCCTTTTGCTCTAGATTAGAATGGGGGTTTCAAACTTTCTCACATCAATGAAGCTTTTCCTTACTGACTTGTCTTCAGGAAAGTTCTCATGCACTGTGATGGAAGCCTTGCATGCTGCAGGAGAATTTGGAAAGTATCGTAAGGTGGACACCAAGTCCACGCAAAATACCAGCCAGACTTGTCTGAGCTTACCTTTGCTCTGCATAAACAGAAAGTGCACTTTCAAGAATCCTGTGGCTGTGTGTCTTAGGAGAACTGGCAGGAGTAATCAACTTATCTTTCAAGGAAATGCCTGGCTACCACTATTGAACTTCTCACTGGAAATCTCTGAAAAGCTTTTGGGGAGTTTGAGAACTGCTGGATTGGAAAGACCTTCCTCTTTTACCAAACAATCCATCTTTTATTTACAGTTCACAGACCAGAAAGGATATAACTAAATTCAGAGCTGTTAAAATTCAAAGAAGAACCAGTCAATCAGAAAAGCAGTTGCTCTTTTACCCTTCCCCCACATACATAGAAAGAGGCTTTAAACACACACACAAACACACATCATCTGACATTCATGGGATTCTGTGGTGAACCAAACCATCTGAGATCATTTCTACCACTTTTCTCTTGTGATCTTCTATCATTTTTTAAACAGAGACTAATCTTTTCTTCTAAAAAAAATCACATGTAAACTGAGTGTTCAACAATTCTCTTTAATTATTTTTCCATTATAATTTGAAAAACTTGAGAAATGTATATTGCTGCAAGTCAAATTTTAGATAATCAACAATCAACTGGATCAATAAAAGAGATGAAAAGGGAATATACCTGGGAAAACTAAGAACTCAGTATGTTTATTGCCATCAGCTGAGCAGCAAAATCCATATAACAAGGTTCAAGCAGTTACACCAGATCTTGACAAAAAATAGCATGAAGCAGATTTCCAGTTCTCTATCAGGGACTCCTGCAATTGCTCCTGTCAGCCACAAAGGCTTTAAACAAGCAAGGAGAGTGATTTATAGAAGGGATGCAAAGATCTGGCTAGAATTTGGCTCTCTTGTGCTCACCAGAATTCCTTCCCATGCTCAGCCATGGCCAAGAATCAAGCCAAGCCAAGATCCACTCCATGACCCCTTCAGAATGCTAGAAGACCCTTTTCTTGCATGAAGCAAGCAATTTTTTGCACTGAGTACACAAAACCCACAAGCCACATGTGTGGAAGCAGAATTGCACGTGCACTATGGACATGCGGGCAGTATGTGGACAAGCTGGCCTCACAGGATTGCTTGAATTGAGCATGAGAATGCTCTCCATGTAAGGCAGACTTAGGGCAGACAATAAGTTGGTCATAGTCCAGGGAGCCAATCTGAGAAGATCTGATGTATTCCTAGCCCCAAAACAGATTCTTTACACATTATTAATTTATAGGGAGGAAGCACAGTCACCTTTATACTGCATATTTATCAATCATGCCTTAATTAATGGCTCAAGCAAATAAGCTCTTATCCATCCGAAAGTCCAATCCATCTCCTACTGAAACCAACCAACACACCAATTCTCACTGAAATTAACAAGACTTGAGTGCAAAGTTGCAATACCAGGCTGCATGGATATTCCAACCCAGGTATCCTATCAAAGTTACAGGAGAAAGGTTTGGTCTGGTACTCAGTGGATTCTCCTGAATAGAAAATTCAACAGACTTGTTATAAAACAGGTGTGCAAAACTACTTAAGAGTGCAACCCTGTACATGCTTGGAAAGAAAACAAGAAACTATGTTCTGAACTATGTACAAACAAACAACAAAAAGCAGACTCCAACTAAAGTTGCATTTGCACAAGCATGGTTGCATAAGTGGTTTTGTATTATGCCTGTTTAACCCATTGTGCTACAAATTGCATAAAATGTACAATACATTGTGCAATTGCTTTCACAACTGCATGTGAAATCTTAACAGGCAACTGCTTGTGCAACAAAAACATTAAGTGGAAATTTCTTAGTGTAATTTGAATTTGTGGAACCTAAGTTTTCTACTGCCCTTTGAAATGTAGTATGGTTTCTCACTAAAGATATTTAAGATGAATCTTCTGAAGAAGTAGAATACAAGGTGAAGTGCTCCATTCAACCTCTATAGTGGTCCAAAACATTCTTCTCCATTTGAAGGAACTCACCTGAGAATGCTTCTCAACCAATAATA